TCAAACAGACCTGAGAGGACAATAAAAGGCTTTAAAACACCTTAAAGTGTCTGTTTGATCAGTTTTATAAAGAATCCCTCTAAAAATACGAGCTCATTTTACACTAAAATAATGAAAACTTTTAGTTTTTCCCTAAAAAGCTTAAACATTCTTTATAAATTAGTTTGAGAATCAGAAAAACTGCAGACAGAACTCAAAATAAATCAGAATAATCTTGGAATTTCTGCTTTTTTTCCTCAGGAACCAGCTCTGATTTCCATTAAATGAGCTCTGTTCCAGCAGATGTTCGGACAGAAGCAGAAACAGGAGTTAACGTGGTGGAAAATAACTAATATAACATAGAATATAATTATTTCACAGCTTTTCTTTGAACACGAGAGGTAAATTAAATCCAGATTTTGAATAAACACCTGGCAAAAACTACAGTCCTGGTTCCCTGCACCACCTTTCAGAGACTCTTAAAGCTTTCAAACCAGCATTTTAAAGGAAAACTTTAAAATTCTATGAATTCAATCAAATCTGTTAACCCTTTAAAGCCTGATCCAAGAAAAATAGGAAGAATATTGGATTTTTTTAGTCTGAAGTCTTTCTTTGGCCCCTCAACAACATATGAAGAAAAAAACAGAAATGATTTTGATCAAATTAGCGTGCAATAAGTCAAAACTCTATGTTGGTGTAGTCTTCTACTGGCTGTTATCAGGTATATCTGAATGTGTACAACAGGGGTTTGAGCAAAGCTTTTACCACTGAATGATGCAGAAAGTCTCACATCCAAAAGAAACCCGATCAGATATGACACATTTGGCTTTATAGGGTTAAAGGAAAACAGGTTTCAGTGAATTTGAGGCTCAGCTTTATGATTTCAGAGCGATAAATCACGGGGAACTATTGACTGAGCGCTGGATAATAGAGCTCCACATCAATGAGCTGCCCTGAACCACGCCGGGACAATTAGCTTTGTCTAAAAGGGAAAATCCACGTTTCCCATCACCTCTAAATCAGTCACGAAGCCAAACAGACTCCAAAGTCCAAGTTGTAAAAGAAAAGAACTACTTCTAAGGAAGTTAAAGTCCAACCAAACTGGGATTTCTGATCTGTTCCTCCCACTTCAAGGCTTTTAAAAGCCCTTAAAACCAAAAACATCCAATTTAAACAAGATTCTACACAATCAATCATCCAGTCTGTCGTAGATGATCGCTCCTCATCTTCTGGTTTCTTTTGTCTACAAAAGAAGGCTCAAAAAGCCCCCAAACCTTCAGATTTTCATCCAGAAAAGAAGAAAATAACCGCTTTAATCTCACTTCTAAAGATCTGAACCAGCTGAAAGTGCATCATCTCTCAGTTTAGTTTCAGAATCAAACTAAATCAACGTTTAATCGCCATAGTTTCTCATTTTCTGCCTCTTATTACTTATTTCAAACACACCAAACGCGCTTTAGAGCTGAAAAACCAGCGAGAAAACAGCAACTTTGTGGAAAAACGACAGCTGGGAGCTAAAAGATCGAACTATTTCTGGTAGAATTCCTGGATTGGAAGGCTTCAAACACACCAAAACTCTCCACTTCTTTGTGGACCGCTCAGTTTTCGACCTAACTGAGCGTTTCTTGGTTCCTGGAGCTGAGGATCTGCAACAAAAGGCCGGGGGGGGGGGACTCACCGAGGGGCTGCTGTGGTCGGCCGGTGCTCCTGGCGTTTGGCGGTCAGACCGAAGAGTGGTGGCTGTTTCTCGCCCCCGGAAAGGGTCAGCGCCACCCGGGTCCGAGTGGGCTGCCAATCACAAAAAGCCCGGGGGGGGGGGGGGAAACCACGCGATTGTTTCCAGCCCACGTCGCGTCCACCTTCGCAGTTAAAATTGTTATGGTAATGAAGAGGACAGCAGACTGAAACACGCTTAAACTGTCCCGTAAGACTCCGAACTGTTTATCCTCTAGACCAGTGTTTTTCAACCTTTTTTGAGCCAAGGTACATTT